TGTATGTATGTATGTATGTATGTATGTATGTATGTATGTATGTATGTGTGTATGTGTGTCTAAAATTATTATCGTTATGATAACTTAGTACTGAGTAACATATGTAAGTAATATATAGTATTGCAATTGTATAAGGGTTCCCAAATAGATAAACACGTGTTCCAACATGCCAACATAGTGAGGATTTGCTGAAACATCGGACTATTAGGGGGGTAACTCCCATCTGTAAATGCATAGAAACATATACATATTATACATATACACAGGGCTCCAGGTGCCTCCTCAGAAGGTATTTGTAGCCCTAGGGATACACACATCCACGGCACTTGGACCAAACCAACCTGGGCATCGGGACCGGTGAGCGCCCAACATACATTGTTGGAGCAACGAAACACATGGTGGGATGGGTAAGGGGGGCTGATCGGTTTCCTTCACAATGTTTGGTGTTGCCATCCATAGATAGTTTAAATATCTATACATACAGTAACAAGATGTAACTTATACACACACATATATATATATATATTATATGTCATATTGGAGGAGACTAGATTCAAATCAACATTGGCACGGGCCAACAGCAAAATACATCCAAAGTGGACTTTTCAGAAAGCCAGCTGCCTGGACACAAGATATTTTCAGGGATCAGCTTCTGTTTGCATTGCGTTCCGAAAACTGCTGCTGTGAACATGCTCAGGCATGTGCTGATGAGCTTGTGCTTCCAGTCTCGTGCCCATCGGAGACTATTTTGGTGAAGCAAAATGAGGTACTGGAAGAGAAAGCGCTGATGATGCCCTCCCAGCCGTGGCTTTTTGCGGCGAATCCAACTAATGAAGCGCTGCTTTGTCATGTTGGAGGCCTCCGATGCAACATCCTCAGCCTCATCCTGAGAAGAGAAGGACCCGGTCAAACCTAGAAGGAAAGAGACCAACCTCTGTTGACTGATGAATCCATCTTCAAACCCCATGCGTTCGGTGAGGTGTGCCCATGCAGCATCAGAAGGTTTCTGGATCTGCAGGAATTCCAAGAAGCTCAGGAACTGCTCCTGGCTCAAGTCATCAATATCTTTGTATCCTGCACTGGACAGCTTGGCATCCAAAGCCATCGTGAACGCGAAGCTATCAATCTGCTCTTCAGCTGTGTCCTGCATCTCCAAATCAATAAGTAGAGCTGTGAGATTTGGCATGAACTCAGCCCATGCCTCCGGCAACTTTCTTGACAGTGTCGGGTCTTTCTCGTTCCACACCTTTCCAGAAATCACATCTACGACCCAATCTGCTGGGTTTTCATGCTGAGGCATTTGGAAGCCCAAGTGCCCTTGGCTCTGCACTGTGCAAGTAGTTTTCTTTCCCTCCATGCCATGGTGGGTATAAAAATACATCCAAACAAAAAAAAGGTGCTACCGATGAGGTCAAATGTGGCTCCTGGCTCCTACTATGCCAATGCGCTTGCACTTCAAACAACAAACATTCATGCGGCTGGGTTCTCTTTATGAACGACTGGTTCTCGGTCTGAAGAATGGCGTCATGACAAGAGAATCATAAATAATCAGCCCAAGCGGCGGAAGTAGGGCAGAGCACCCTCGCTTTTGCCCGAGTAGACCGTTCGGCCACCCAAACCGAGAAGGAGCAAGTCATCAAAGAGCGTGAAAAGAGAATAGCGAGGTTGGTGCACTACCATCACCACTGTCATGCCTACATAGGTCAGCTACCAAACCACACTTGACGGGAACTGACATCAGTGTGGCAGTGTGACATGCCCATGGCACCACAACCTATCTCAATGACATAATCTGATTCAACCGTATTTAACTCAACCCAAATCCCCTAGTGAATTGACGTACTGATGTCTGAGCAAATCACACTACTTGCCATATACACTCTGAACTCACAGTCAGGCCATCCAAGTAAAACATGTGTCTTAAATTGACCCTTGATCAGGCCCTGCCTATACCTGTGAGACGCTTCACCGAGCGAATGATCTCCAATGCGGTGCTGGCGTCTAAGCCACTGGTCGGCTCGTCCAGCATCAAGACTTTGGGACGCGCAGCAAGCTCCAAACCGATGTTAACTCGCTTTCGCTGTCCTCCACCTAGGCTGCCAGCGGGGTCAATCGGACCTCCTTGCACATCGCCCCGAGTTCGATGGATGACCCGAACTATCCCGGGCCGTTGCTGCGGATTGCTCCCTCCCAAACAGACCCAGGCAAATGTTGCACGTTCTCCAACTGGGTCTTGCATGCATAGCTGCCCTCTCTTCTGGTTCACCTTGTAATCTTGAACATGTCGTATCATTTATTGAAAAACCTTATATATATTATATATACACACTGTATATATCAATATCAATCATATCCCCTGGTTTGCACCCCGAAATGGGGATGCCAGGATTATTCAAGCACATGCGAGAAAAATATGACCTCAAGCATGCTCAAGCAAATCCAGGCCACTAATGCCGCGCTTCTCCACATTTCCGACCAAACTATGTTGCACATCCAGCAGCTGCATCACATTCAACACGTCTTCCACGATGTTGTTGATCATCTCCTTATATATATATATATATATTGAATATGCAGGTTAATGCTTTTGGTTTTGAGATTGTCTTTGTTCATGAGATGGGGTTGTGTGCAAATGTGTCTGCTCTCGTAGTCTGCCCTGATTGAAACGGTGGGTACATGATCCCTACAGGGGTAGATGAGATTAAGCAAGATTAGAATACCTAGGCTCGCCTAGGCTGCGGCCACGCATGGATTAATTAGATAACCAGTGACTAAATGATGATGATGATCTAAGCCCAAGAACCTAAAGCCCCAATTAGGTTCTTGTCCCCAGTCCCAAAAAGATTCACTAGAATTCTTAAGTCGGACACGAAGAAGCAGACTTCAGACCTCTCTCGCTTTCGCCAGGTCTCTGGTGGCGTGTCCTCCGCATTACGCAAACGTGCAGAATAGTAGAGTTGCTCACGCACCGTCAGGTGCTCATGGAGAATGTCATCCTGCGTGCGGAGCGAGTGCAGAAGGGGCGAAGCACCCGTGGCCGCTATACAAAAACCTCGATATACAGAAACAATACAGAAACATAGGGCGCTTTCGACCTAGGCTATCCTAGGGCCGGAAAAGGACCCGAAAGAACCCACACTTGTGGGTCGTCATGCTAAGTTGGGAAGAATTTGTCTACACCCTGGCCATGCCGGCTACCGTGCCGCCGCCCAGTTGCACACAGGATTTCTGCCACCAAAACAATTAACAACTGAGATCACGACATGTGACTGGTCTGCAGCAGATACATGCAAACTGGTCTGCTGCCCCCGTGGCACGACTCAGTCCGCGTCGTCCTGTGGCACGAAGCCGCGAAACTGCTTGATCTCCGCAATGCTGCTGGGCTCCCCATTGATGCGGATGGAACCCGTGGTGGTCCCATAGTAGGCGCGACCACACAAGGCGTTCATGAAGGTCGTCTTCCCTGCCCCAGACGGCCCCATGATAGCTGCCACCCTCTTGGAACGAAATTCACCACTCACACCCTCAAGAATGCACTTCCTGCTGGATTTGAGCTTCACTCCCAAGTTGTCAAACTCAATGCTGATTCCTGACATCTTCAAGTGCATGCCTCTGAAACGGTATTCTGGCACCTTGGAAGCTGGCATCAAGCTGTTGGCCAGGTCCACAGAGCACCTTTCACATTCCGACATCATCTTCGATTCTTCGGAGAGTCGCCATCGCTGTCTTCGATTGATTAAGGCATTTACCACCAGCACCACATAGCCAAGCAAGGTTATCCCCATCACGCAAGGCTCCCAAAAATATGGGCTGGCAGCCATGATGCACACAATAGTTTGGCCTGGTAAAATCTATATATGCTGTACTTGCTTCCAGGCCACTGATTGAGCCATTCAACGCGAGACAAATCCGTCTCCAAGCAGCTCAGGCACAGGCTACACACACAAAAAAAACATGTGTGCCAAACCCTTATATATATTTGTATAATGACGTCTTTTCTCTTTTCTCACTGCTCCTGGGGACGTTCCTCATTGAACATTGGGATAACCTGTTGTGCATGCCAATTCGAACGGTCATGAAACTGACAAAACGATAAGCAGCTCGGCCACATTTCACCACCTGTGTGTGAATATATCTTTGCTATGCAAAACGGCCACACCCCAAGGAAGTGTCAGAAATATCTCCGGCGTGGAGCCTGCACAACGCAGTTGGAAAATGGCCCTTGAATTCTTGTGGAGGCGCCGCGACATTTCCTGCGCAAAGCTAAAATACTGCCCGCCCATTCCAGTCTCAAACACTCCTGGAGTAGATAACATATAGCTGTTGATGCCTTTCAGTGGATGGATGATGTTTTATCACTGTTTATCGTTCTTCTTGGGTCAGTGTCCGGTCCTGTTGCTTTGGGACCTTCTCAGCGCCATTCTCTTCGGTTCCATCTGGCACGGGTGGCCTTGGGAAGCGCGTTGCCACGACCAGACATTGCTAGCCAGGCAGTGCAGTTCTGCAGACTCTCTGTTTATGCCTGCTTTCCACGATGAGAGAACCGAAGACCAAGGTAGCCAAAGACTAGTGCAAGAATTGCAAAAAGGCTGCAGAAAATGTAGGCTAAGGTGACGTAGCCCAATGTGCTCCCCCCCTAGGCACAGCAGCACTTTCTTGTAGCCCTCGACAATCATCACTGCATAGTAATCCACCGCCTCTTCCCCACCACTCACTGCAATCAGCTCCATGTAGTTCTCTCCCGAAGTCCAGGTGAACGGAGAGAGGAATGCCAGTGCTGTGCTCAGGCCTTCAACTTCTGCAATCACCTGAGGTTCACTGAGAGCGCCACCCATGACCAGCAAGAGCACAGCTGTTGCAAGCGTGGAGTTCCTTACACATACCACAAAAAATGGCCAACCCAGGCCCGGGCCAACTCAAAAATCACAAGCTAGTGAGCTAGTGCATGGCCAGCTCCTCAGATTTCGTCGATTTTTTCTTTAAAAGAACGCCGGGCTGCTTTGGGTGTCAGCCCACCCGAAGCAGGGAACCAAGGACGACGTAGGGCGTTCAGGACCAAGGACGACTTCCGCACATCGAGTTCCAAAATGAAAGAAGATTAGGTGATGATCAATTGAAATGTTCTTAAGATCTTGAAACACAAACTATCAAAATGACACAAAAGTGCTCATGAAAGAAGCACGCAAAGTTTTAAAGGGGATCATCTCTCAACTCAACTCGTTCAGGTGAGATTCTGTTTCGGCACCAGCGTAGACATCAAGATGCCCACTGCACTGGCCACCACTGCCGTCATGCGGAAGGACACGAGCCACAACCAAAAGCTGCAGGGAGCCTTTGAGGAGCACATCCACACGAGAGTGTACAAATAGCACCCTGCAAAGACATCCTTGGACGTGGAGTTCTAATTTGTTGACTCTTCCACGGTTTTATTGGGGGCTTCGTGGAAGAAACTGAGAACTCTACTTGGTCAAGAACATTTGGAAGAAAACACACCGGGGTGCAGGTTCCACGATGTTACCATGCGTGGCCTCCCTGAGGGTTGACTTGCTCTTGTTAGAAAGATGTCGAGTCCTGAACTTTGATTTGTGGGCAGACTGACCCCATGGATCAGGCTCAAACTCCACAGAACTGAGATGAACTAATATCATGGGTCCGTTTACGCTTCCATGGGTTTCCTGCAAAGAAAATGTGACATGTTAAACATGTCCTCTTCATCCAGGCATCGAACAGGGACACCGTCACCCTGGCCAAATAGAAGGCAGGAACTCCCACTCCGCTGGCGCTCTCGCGCCAAAAAAAGGGGCCGATCAGCACCAAAAATGTGCAAGGAAACGACCCCACACACCAAGCCAATGGCAAGATGAGAGATGTTGATCTTCAGCGGGCACAAAATGTTTTCGGGGATCAGCTTGTCTATGCAAGTCTGGCCAAAAACGGCCGCCGTAAAAATGGTGAGGACCGTGCTGATGAGCTTGTGCTTCCAGTCCCTTGCCCACCGGATACTGTTTTGGTGAAGCAAAATAGGATATTGAATGCAAAACCGTCCACGGCGTCCAAGCTTCTTGCCCGGAATGTCGCTGATGGAGTCACTGATGGAGGTCTCCTTGGAAGTGCCTGACGCTTCGGAGGATGTGAAATCCTCCACATATTTGCCTGCATCCTGGGAGAAGGAAAAGGTCAAACCATGAAGGAAAGAGGTCAACCTCTGTCGGCTGATGAATCCATCCTGGAATCCCATACGATCCATCAGCTGTTCCCATGCAGCATCAGCAGGCTTCTTGACGTGTAAGAATTCCAAGAAGTCTGCCAGCTGCTCCGGGCTCAACACGTCCCTGTCCCGGAATCCTGCACTACAGAGCTTGGCATCCAATGCCTTTGAGAATGCGAACGCGTCCAGGCCAGGCCCTTCTGCGCCCAGAGCCGACTCCACATCATCAGCCATGACATTTGTCACAAACTCAGCCCATGCATTCGCCAACGTTTTTGGTTGCAAAGTTGGATTCTTCTCGTTCTTTACAATGCCCGAGATCACATCCATGAACCAATCCGCTGGATTTTCGTGCTGAGGCATTTGGAAGCCCAAGCTTCCTGGAAGCGAACGTGGTCTCCAGGAGTGGTTCTGTCTCCAGGAGTGGCCCCCGGGCTATCCGTCTTGCTATCCGTCAGCTGCTACACAGTCAGCTTGCAGGTGGATGATCCATTCAACCCCCCCAAAAAGAAACATCGAGTCATTGATCGATTCATACACATGAATGAACCCATATGCAGCCATATGCATATATGTAAATAATCCAACCCAGTGTTCGTCGCTAAAAAGCCAACAACGCGAGTCTTCGTCACGGGGCAATGTCCCAAGAAACGGTTCGGTGAAATGTGTCGCAGTCGCATCAAGCAGCTTGAGGGATCTTGAGGGTGTGCACCGTGGGTGTGCACCCAAGAGAGTGCACCGAACAGTGGGTAGGTACTCCAAGTCTTGGAGGAGCAAAGGGGCCAAGTCTAGCAGTGGCTTTGGACTCAGACGCTGACACTCCGAACATGGAGTGGCACCAAGAATGTTGAGATCCTCGAGTCATTTTGTGAGGGGGCAATTCATTCACAAGTGGCGTGGTTGTTTTAGTATGTTTTAGTTGTCTGCCCAGTTCTACTAGGTTCTCCTGAGAGTTTACTTCTCTCTCTCTCTCTATCTCTCTCTCTTGGGCCCAAGCGTCTAAAGTAAGGAAGAGCGCCCTCACTTTGGCCCAAGTAGACCGTTTGGCCACCCAAACCAAGAAGAAGCAAATCATCGAAGAGAGTGAAAAGCGAGTAACGAGGCTGGTGCACCACCATCACCACAGTCATGCCTGCAAGCTCGCAGCAAAAGAGATTCCTTCATAATCGCGGCTTCACCACTGTGGAGAGCTGCCCACCAAGAAAACAATCAATGAAAAACAACCACAAGAAACTCCAATCCGGGATTTGGCTGGACAAAACCCAGTTTTTTTCATCATCTTAAATTCCACATGGCACGGATTTGGAGGAGTCAGTGCTTTCGGTCACAATTCTTCGAACCCCGACTTTGCGGAATGGCCGTGACCCGCGCAGGGCGGGAAGGGCTTGCACAACTCCACGGATTTTTGTGTGATGCTAGCCCAACATTTGTATATTCGCTGAACTGTACCAAGCACATTTATATACCACCTGCGTGGCGGAGGCTTAAATACGGGACAGTTATTGACTACAAATTTTGTATGGCCACGGGTTCTGTTCAAAGCCCGCTAACATTCTTAGCAACGAATTACAGTACTATAGCCAGTTCTTTAACCTAATGTTCTCAGCGAGACCCTCCCTTTTCCCATCCGTTGTCGCCCGCGCGCCTATGGCGGTGAGCCGCTTCACCGAGCGAATGATCTCCAAAGCGGTGCTGGCGTCTAAGCCATTGGTCGGCTCATCCAGCATCAAAATGGTAGGACGTGCTGCAAGCTCCAAACCGATGTTCACTCGCTTTCGTTGTCCTCCACCTGATGTTACATGATGTTACCACACACATTACTTTAGTGGTGCAGGTTCTTGCTGTGAACACCTTGCCCCTGCAAATTCCCACAAACATATCCATGTCTTAATCTGAGCGTACCCATAGGAGAAACATCATCTGAAACATAAAAACCGAAGCGACTGATGCCACGCTTCTCCACATCTCCAACCAGGCTGTGCTGTACATCCAGCAGCTGCATGACGTTCAACACATCTTCAACGATGTTGTTGATCATTGCTGGTGGAGTGCCCTCCGCATTGCGCAAACGCGCAGAATAGTAGAGCTGCTCTCGCACGGTCAAGTGTTCATGCACGATATCATCCTGTGCAGGGTGCGACCAGGCTTTACAGCTCGTTGACTGTACCTGCAGCCTGTAGCTACTTGTCCCCAACCACCAGTTCGTTCCGATTAACGCTGTAATACCTGATTGATCTCCATGCCTATCCATTTGCAGGGCAGCCCTGATTTTGCAGGGCAGCCCTGACCGTGGCGGTTGCCTTGCGGAACATCACTATTAGCCGCACATCCTCAACAAGGCGGCATGCTTGACGGTGTCACTATGCTATGCTAGTTGAACGGTGTTGTCATACAGTAGTTAATTTGCAAAGCATATGTTTACACAGCTACACATGTGTCCGCGTATGATCGTCTATGTGCTTATCTAACGGAGACAACTGGGGACGCGGCAAGTTATGTGGTCTGGCAAGAATCCCCGTGCTACTTGAGGTTTGTCCTGTGACGATTGCTTGGGATCCGACCAGATCATGAGGAGGTGACTATTGAGAGCCACCTCACATGACAAATACATCTGTTCTCAGTCAGTGGGAGTGGTTCTCAAGCGCTCAAAGGTGATCTCATTAAGTGCCCATAGAGGAAAAAAACAAAAATGGATGAACCAAACTCATCTCCAAAGCATTCACCAACACATAGCAGTAAAGTGGTTTGAACATGCAGAATTGCAGCCATTAAACAACCCCATCTGGTCCTGTGGAACGAAACCCCGAAGCGGCTTGATCGCAGCAATGCTACTGGTCTGACCATTGATGCGGATGGAACCCGTGGTGGTCCCGTAGTAGGCGCGACCACACAAGGCATTCATGAAGGTCGTCTTCCCTGCCCCAGACGGCCCCATGATAGCTGCCACCCTCTTGGGGCGAAACTCTCCAGTCACACCCTCCAGAATGCACTTCTTGTTGGACTTGAGCTTCACGCTCAAGTTCTCAAACTCGATGCGCATGGATGACATCTTCAAGTGCATGCCCCTGAAGCGGTATTCCGGCACAGTGACTGTAGGAACCAGGCGGTGTGCGAAATCGACGGAACACCTCTCACATTCCGACATGGCTTTGGAGTCCTCAGAAAGCCGCAACCGCTTGCGGCGATTGAGGTAAGCGCCGGTCGCCAGTGCTGCATAGCCAAGCAAGGTGATGCCCAGCATACAAGGCTCCCAAAGGTATGAAACAGCCATGGCGTTGAACCCAAATCATCCAAAGAGTCGAGAATAGCTCTTGGTGCTCCTAAGCCATATGTCGGCAAAGAGGCATATGTCTGGAACTCGTCCCCCCCAAATAAACATCAAGCTATATCAAGCTCATTGAAACATGCAGGTTGATGGCATGGTGGAGCAAAGTGAGCAAAGTGCAACACACCTCCAAACAACTGTTTAGCGCAAGCTGGCAGGCCTCAAAAGGTACCACAAATGAGTGAATCGTAATGCATCGTCAATTGAAACTAAACAACAAAAAGGTTTGGATGTTCCTCTCAAGATCTTGCTCTTAGACCCATGGCTTCATGGGTGCTTGTGCAACTGTGTTTAGCTCTTTACCTGTTGACTCCGGCTCTCAAATCCGTGTACCTTTGCAGGAGCCGTGCAAGAAATCACTCCAAGAAACAGGGTCCTGGAGTAGACTGTACTTTACATGTTGTCTAATTCTTGGTCATTGGCTCAAACTCTGAGAACATTCTAGATACCACTCGAAAACGCATCTTGACACCTACTTTCTTTTGCAATTTCAACCATTGGTTGATGACAGGGCGTGCTTGAGCCATGGCCAGCTGTTGGTGGCCGGCTGGCACATGTGGCCTATTGAGGATGTACCGCAGCTTGGACAAGCCTCTTGCTTGTCTGGCTGCTCATTCCTCTCATGCCTGTTTGCCACGATGAGAAAAAACGAAGGCCAAGATATCCGAACATGAGTGCAAGAAATCCAAAAACACTGCAGAAGATGTAGGCCATGGTGACGTAGCTCAAATTGCTTCCTCCCAAGCACAGGATGATCTTCTTGTAGCCATCTACGATGGGAACTGCATAGAAGTCCACGGCTGCTTCTCCACCGCTGGTGGCAATAAGTGCCAAGTAGTTCCTTGGGATCTCGGGATTCACCCAAACCCAAACATCAACGTACCTACATAGTGACATACAACATCATACAACCCAAATCTTGTCTGGTTCTTTGGGGATGACACCAATCGTCTTCCGGGGCCTTTGAAGGAGGCTCAATTGAGAGACACAATGTGAATCTTAATATTTTGGTGAGTGACATATTTCAATCTCCCGCTCTACATAGATTCTTACGCTTGGGCATTCAACAAGGCAAGGAGCACCTGGTTCAACAATGAAGCACCCCAAACTTATCTGTAGGAAAAATGACACTTGCCATAGTAAATGAGTAGATGCTAGTGGGTTCAAACCATCTTCGGCCACAAAAATTGCATAAAGCACAATCCCAGGCTTCTCTCCTGATGCCCAAGTAAATGGAGAAATGAATGCCAATGCGCTGCTGAGACCATGCGCATCTGCAATCACTTGAGGTTCACTCAAGGCACCTCCCATCACCAGCAGAACGACCGCCGTCGCAAGAGTGGAATTCCTGAAGTCTTGAAGCTCCAAAAAGTCTTCTGTTTCCAGTCTGGAACCTTGACTCCAGTCCGTTTCTTGAAAAGTCTTGAGCTTGACTTGGTGGAGTCTCAAGAGGAGTTTCAAGAAACAAACTCTTACTCTTACGCCAAAAGCGACTCGCTTGTGACTAGCAATGCACTAACTAAAGGAGTTTTCAAGAAACAAACCTAGCTTGAAGTGTAGTGAGTCTAGTGGAGTTGCTAAAGTATTTTTCGCTCAGGAATGAGGCGGTTCCGCCTCATCCCCCTACAATGTTGATACCTTGTTCAATGCAGCTGGCCACATTCGTCGCACCGTCGCAAAACGAGTCTAACATCTGTCTCTGTCTCTCTCTCCATGGCCTTCAGATCAACATCTGCACCAGCTACATACCAACATCAGCTGAGCACCTCGCCTGCTTGTTTGATCATTTCTTGCTTGTGTCCGCTGTACTCTTTCGTGACTTGAATGTGATATCATGTGATATCGACTATATAGATGTATTAATTATGTTTATATGCGTATTAGTTCTTGTTCATTGGTGCTAGATTGGGCTCATGTTCCTTGCTTCTTGAGAGGGGACTACTTATAACTTGTATTTCCCCGACACATATGTCTACCCGTGAGCCAGGATTCTGCTTTGGCACCAGTGTCGAAATGAAAACACCCACGCCACTGGCACTGACTGCAGTCATCCGAAATGCGATTAACCACATCCAGTAGCTGCAAGGTGCTTCAGCAAAGATCATCCACGCGACGGTGTACAAGTAGCACCAAACGAGCACCTGTGCGGCCAGAGGTGCAAACGAGGTGCATGCAAACAGCATAAGTTTAAGCATGAAACAAAGGCAAACAGTGTTTTGTTGAGGCTTAGCTTAAGATTTATGTGAGCAACATGTATTATTTGGTGCTGTTCGACAGGAGGCAAAGCAGGGGGGGACCCTACCATAAGTTGCCGCGGGGGTGTCTTGGGAGAGTAAGCCTACACCAGTAATTGGCAGTGTCCATCATCTCTTGTTTTGGTTTGATCCGCTGACATGTGGGAACTCTATGCGGAGATTTGTTCCCAAATGTTATGATAAAAGAAAGTGAAACATTCTGAAACAAGTGCCGGTGAGGCACGTCGAAGAGGGACACAGTCACTCTGGCAAGATAGAAGGCAGTGACTCCCACTCCACTGGCGCTCTCACGCCAAAACAAAGGCCGATCTGAACCGAAAATGTGGAGACATGCTATTCCGCTCAAGGTTCCAATGGGCAAATGAGAGACGTTGATCTTGAGAGGGCATAAAATGTTTTCAGGGATCAGCATCTCGCGACATTGTCCCCCAAACACGGCTCCTGCGAAGACGATAATTCCTGTGCTGATGAGCTTGTGCTTCCAGTCCCTTGCCCACCGGATACTGTTTTGGTGAAGCAAAATAGGATATTGAATGCAAAACCGTCCACGGCGTCCAAGCTTCTTGCCCGGAATCTCGCTGATGGAGGTCTCCTTGGAAGTGCCTGACGCTTCGGAGGATGTGAAATCCTCCACATATTTGCCTGCATCCTGGGAGAAGGAAAAGGTCAAACCATGAAGGAAAGAGGTCAACCTCTGTCGGCTGATGAATCCATCCTGGAATCCCATACGATCCATCAGCTGTTCCCATGCAGCATCAGCAGGCTTCTGTACCTTCAAAATGTCCAGGAAGTCTGCAAACTGTTCTTGGCTTAACTCATCCATCTCCCCAAATCCTGCACTGAAGAGCTTGGCATCCAAAGCCTTAGTAAATGCGAGCCTGTCCATCTGCCCTTCTGCCTCCTGGCCCAACTCTAAATCATCAGGAGGTATGTTGTTTCTCATGAACCCAACCCATGCATCTGCCAACCTTCTTGACATTAGCGCGGGATCCTGGTCATTCTTCACCTTTCCGGAGATCACATCCATGAACCAGTCTGCTGGATTCTCGTGCAAGGGCATCTGAAACCCTAGATTTCCTGAAGCGTGGCAGGCAGCATGGGCATGAGTGCGACAGGCTCGCTATGTATATATTCATATACATACACATGAACAAAGTTCTTCAACTGAGGAGTGACGGGGTCAAACAGTCTCGGGGGTTTTGTGTTCGACCCACGAAAACGGCTCCGCACAACAACAGAATTGATGGCGCACATATAAAAGCTCTATAGTAACATCATATAACATCATTAAGCTATAAAACAAGTTACAAGCTGGGTACAACACATTCCCAGTAACCGTGGATGATGATGATGATGATGATGGTTAGGTTGCAGGCCTTCCTAACAAATAGTGATATTATATATACACACAAGTCTACTGGGACACACCCTATAATTAAGAATCAATGAGGGCACCTCGGAGCATGGCACCTTGAACACAAGCCTCATTTGAGAGCATGGCACGCATGTGAGGTGCACCAAGTGTTAATATATATATATACATATTGATAGGGCCAGGTGGGGGTGGAACCAGGAGTACTGAGGCGCCGTTCCGGCCGGGAAACCGCGCCGGATCCTTCGGTCCCAGCGGCGGAAGTAGGGAAGCGCGCCCTCGCTTTTGCCCAAGTAGACCGTTCGGCCACCCAAACCAAGAAGAAGCAAGTCATCAAAGAGAGTGAAAAGCGAGTAACGAGGCTGGTGCACCACCATCACCACAGTCATGCCTGCGAGCTCGCAGCAAATGGTGCTAGGGCTGCTAGGTGCTCTTAGCAGGATTGACGATGAGAGACCTACTATTCAGAATGTCCCGCACAGATTTCCATGGACCGATTGAAAATAAAGCGAAGAAACAGAGGAACATATATAATTGCTTATGTAATATAATGCATCAATGGGCGGCCGAAATTCATATTCTGTTCGGAAGAAGCCACATGACAACGCAAACAACATTCTGAAATTGTTTTCTCAGCAGCCTCCTGGAATTATCATGGTTAATTACTTGGATGGCATGGCCCCGTTAAGGCAAGGATGACATGGTTCTATACAAAACCGGTGGGGTGGTTATCCACTGGCCGAGCCCGTTCCGATTCCCATCCGTTTCGCGCGCGCCGCGCCGCGCCTATGGCGGTGAGCCGCTTCACCGAGCGAATGATCTCCAAAGCGGTGCTGGCGTCTAAGCCACTGGTCGGCTCATCCAGCATCAAAACGGTGGGACGTGCTGCAAGCTCCAAACCGATGTTCACTCGCTTTCGTTGTCCTCCACCTAGGCTCTGATCAACGTGGCAACACAAAAATACCATCCAAATGAATGTATCCGGGACCGACTCCGTACAATTCCTGAACATTTTTCACCAAGAGAAAAGCTGAACCAACGCAAGAAACACGTATATACCTCAAGCTAAACTAAGCCAGGCTGCTGATGCCACGCTTCTCCACATCTCCAACCAGGCTGTGTTGCACATCCAGCAGCTGCATGACATTCAACACGTCTTCTACGATGTTGTTGATCATTGCTGGTGGGGTGTCCTCTTCATTGCGCAGACGCGCAGAATAGTAGAGCTGCTCACGCACGGTCAAGTGCTCATGGACGATGTCATCCTGTGCACGGTTCGACCAGGTTGTTACAGTTCCTTGACTGTACCTGAAGCCCGTAGCTACTTGGATTGTCAAGTTATGCCTCAAACAAGAGCTCGCTGAAGTACCAGTTCATTTCAAGTTATGCTGTTGATAGTGGAGGAGTAAATTCAATACGCAGACCTGCGGTAACACAAATGTCTTTGAAGCCAAAGGGTTGATTCAGTTGATTCCAGAGTCGTCCGTCCTGTGAACACACGTCCGAGTCCAGTGAACCCCGAGCCTGAAAACACCTCGTCCGAGTCAGAGAGTCCAAGAGCCATTTAAAACAGGTATACCCAGACCATCTATGGCATATTGGCCTGCATTGAGGCGGTTGATACCCGGGGTCAATGTAGATGGTCTGCCAGTCCCATGGATGGTCTGGGATAGCTTGAACAAAGGTACCAACAGAAGTTATATACTAGGAAATTGTTTCGGTGTCGGTTCCTCCGAAAACTGAAGCCCTTCTAAAGTCTTGGAGAGTAGTGAGTCACTCAGGGCCCTGAGTGACTCACCTAACGCTCCATAGTCTACTTTTAAGTTACTCAAGAATCATCAAGAATCAGAAAGAAGCAGAGATCAGTAAACCTAGGACCTAGGATCCAAACCTATGAACTCATGTCAAATCATCCAACAAACTGAGATGGGGCCATGTCGACAATGTGAACAAATCTGAACTCGTCTCAGAAAACACCTCTTTTGCGTCACATTGCGCCGGTTCCCACGTTGCATTTCTCAGGTGTCTGCATTGTGTTGTGTGGGTTCTCTTAGGTTTTTGTGTTGTGTTGCTCTTCCGGCTTGGAACTATATAAAGCTGCTGCTCAACATGTGACAAAGGAGAGACACTTTCAAGCTTCAATGAAAGCCTCCAGTGAAAAGCCCATGCTGCTGAAGAACTATTTAACAATTTCTATTTGTTTATTTTCTCTCCCACTGCCACCTCGGCTTTTCATACTAGATGCTTTGTGAATCGGCATCTGCTTTTTATTGGGAGCTATGGCTATAACGGTGTTTTGTGTTTGAGCTTCTGGTGACAGGCATATGTGCCTTCCTCATCCCAAGCTTGTCCAACATTCCAAGCCACGTCACCCCAACCGAAGGTCGCGCTTGGTGCATGTTCTATTTTTTTTTTGTAATTGTCAAGGCATACACAACGCAGTCCGTTCTTTTTCTTATTAAGGCGAGCCTTAACAATACATAGATTGAAGGAAGCTCCGGGTATGTAGAGAACAAACATGTTTGCGTGTATGAATGCATGTTGCTTATGTAACTATCTAAGGGATCATTGGGGAGTCAGGGACGTACCGACGTAGTGGTCTGTCTGGTGATAACCTGATGTGGTCTGTCCGTTTGCCCCTTCACGATCCCAAGTTCGTGCTCTGCAAATACGACCCGTACCTTGCAAAGGCCGGACAGGACAAACCTCAGTTAATGTAGACTCTTGATTATTTAGTAAACTCCCATATGAAAATACTGTCCATAAAAAAAAAAAAGAACAGCAAGAAACAAGTTTAATCACCTCTGCGCAATAGTCAGAAAGCATTTGACACAGCAAAAGGATATCATTCCTAAGCTGTGGCCGTATATGTTAGATGTGGCATATGAACGCTTGACAGAGGATCACGAGGACCGGCAACTGCATAAAGATACCCCAATTGGAGCAGCCAGGACGTCAAATGATACGCCCGGAACTCTTCCCTTCAAAAGCGTTTGCTGACATACAAGATGTGGACAGTACCTGGTGTTGCATTTCCTTTGCCGCCGGAACCACATAACGTTGTTTTTTGGTCATGTACCTGGGGAGTTAACATGGCACGCTTAGTGTGGCAATTCCTCACTACACTAGTGTGGCCTCCGTGTACTGCACAACCTGGCCGTGGGGATGGTGGTATTTCATGGGTTGAATTAGAGTTCTTTCATGTTGTGGTCTGGCGTCACTCTACCAGTCAAAGTTCGAACCGAACATGGGTGGAGAGCCCTTCCTATCCATGATTCCAAAGTAAAGCTGTTGCCACCACATCATAGCTCTCTGTGTGCTTTGGCTGAGAGTTTTCGGTGGATAGTCAAGCATATCCAAACTTTCTCGGTCTCCAAATTGGTTCCGTCCTACCGCAAGCAGAGTTCAAAGAGCCTTATTTCATTAAGTTTTTCCAGTGACCATGAAGGAGGGGTGGCATGTCGGCCGCAACTGCCTAATGGACCAGCCACCTATAACATCTATAAATATGTGCAGGATCTCGTAATAACCAACCGTTTCACACAAATGTTCCGATTTTGCCACTTGATACTTTTGCACAGGAAAGCAAATGGCCCACAGTGGCAAAAAGCTAGGTATGAAAAACAAAACAAATTTCAGAGCCGCGTTCGCTATGCTATTCGGACCAAAAAGAGTTGGACACATTTCTACATCCTGACCATCATTGAGCCCTTGCTCGGATAATTCACATTAAATTACTCTCGCAAGGTCAAATACTAAGTCATCCATAGTCATCCAGTCTTTTCATTCGTGCTGCAATTGTTTTTTTTTCTCACCTTTTCATCCGAGAGTTTCACCACCCAACCCACTGAATACCAGTAAGGGTTGGCATGGGCACGCTCAGACTCGCAAGTCCGTGCATCCAAATGGGGGGGGTTTTAATCAAGAGTCTACATCTCCCTCCTCTGCCCGGACGTTGCGCTCGAAACCCCATCTGGTCCTGTGGAACGAAACCCCGAAGTGGCTTGATCGCAGCAATGCTACTGGTCTGACCATTGATGCGGATCATACCGGTTGTCGTCCCATAGTAGGCCCGACCACACAAGGCATTCATGAAGGTCGTCTTCCCTGCCCCAGACGGCCCCATGATAGCTGCCACCCTCTTGGGGCGAAACTCTCCAGTCACACCCTCCAGAATGCACTTCTTGTTGGACTTGAGCTTCACGCTCAAGTTCTCAAACTCGATGCGCATGGATGACATTTTCAAGTGCATGCCCCTGAAGCGGTGTTCTGGCACGCTAGAGGCGGGAACTAGGCTTTTGGCGACTTCCACTGAGCACCTTTCACACTCTGACATGGTTTTCGACTCCTCTGACAGTCGCATCCGCTTGCGGCGATTGAGGTAGGCATTGACGGCAAGAACCACATAGCCAAGTATTGTGATGCCAAGCACGCAATGCTCCCACAAATACGGGTCCCCCATGTCTGTTCAACTCACCTCCTTCCGTAGATGCAAAAGTCCATAAACTTCTCCGGACCACTTGAGCAAATCAGCGACGGAACGTGCCAAAACTGTCCGTCTAAACATGAGTGCATCATAGTCATAGTGCATCTATCTACGTTCAGAGTCCAGAGTGGTTCGCATCCATGTTAACGTGAGAACAGGAAGCTACTTTCGTGAGTGGAATGAAATTTCATGCACCATCATGCACTGGATCCTTCCTGCGTTCCTTCCGGAAATCGGCTCATGTTCCGCCGTTCGCTGTTGCCTTTCGAAAGGATATTGGGCGCTAGGAGGGCGCATTTTGAGCGCAGTCCTCGGTCTGCAGGAGCAGTCTGCATCGGATAGCGCCACCTGAGATGGTCTGCATCGGTCTGTTCAAGCAAAAAGGCCCCCCTGTGTTGTTTCAATTCGTCCTATGTTGTTCAAGCAAATGAACACGTACGTGCGCTCCTTGGAAGCAAAGAACGAACCAAGATGTTGAAAAAACATGCCCCTGATCATGATCCGAGGATTTTTCCACACTCAACAACTGCTACAACTGCTCCAAGCCTCCAAGTCTTCCAAATGAGTGAATAAATAGCCCATGATAGCTGTCTGGAAAACGAGCACCTTGGAACCAAAAGACATGGCACGCACATAAAGACCCTATTGATTGCCCAGCAAAAAGGTATGCACCCAGATTTGAAGTCTTGACGTGATATGGAGTTGTCCTCGTAGTATGCATGACTTCCGCTTGAGGAACCCCCAATGCATGCACTTCGTAAACCATAAGGTTCGCACCATGAAGTTGATGTGCTGGAAAAGGAACTCAAGCCTCATGAGGCCAAACCTGGGCGGACTAGTCCACGACACATGTTTGGCCGTTTTTGGGGCATATATACCTTCTTGTTGGTCATAATGACCCCCTCCATTCTTGGTGTCTGGATCGTGTGCTCCTTGTCTTCGTACACCGGCACTGGATTTCCACCCAATTTTAGGTATGGTCGACAAGTATGTGCGGCTATTGCATCCTCACATTTACGAGCCCCCTATCGTTTTCCAATGCTTTGGAACCTTGTTAGAGGGTATCACCTTTTTTGAGCCCCCCTATCGTTTGCCAATGATTAGAGCATGCCAGCACAAAAAGATTGCAACGCTCGCCAAATGCAATCCTAATCATCGCAAACTTTTGTCAGGCAATTGCCATGGTTTCTTGTAGTTGGGTTTCCTCATGATGGGTCCTTGTACGTGGTAGTCACCCCCATTCCGTGGTCACCAAAGGATCCGGCGTCCGCTGAGCCACCACACTCGGAGCCCGGTCTGTGCACCTGCCACGTAGGGGATTTTGGGAGTGGCACAACGGCCCACGCCGAGATCTACACTTCCTCCAACGATCATGGAAGCTGACCCGGACCCCTTCTGGAGGAAAATGATCTTCCAGGAGCCTACGTTCCACTTCCATGATTGTTTCAGGGAGCGTACACTCCCCCCTGAAATGATCATGGTTAAGTGAATGGCATGGACCTTTGGATGACAATTCTCCAAGCCGGGTGAACCATCCACCCATGTGATGTCATCGGAGCGTCACCGAAAAAGAATACACTGAATACACACCTAAGAGGACCATTGAAACACACGACACGACACTCGTCAAAGAGGAGTGGTTTCCACCTGCACCCGACCCGTGCCGAAGAAAGAAACATTGTGAGGCATCTGTTTTGGCCCACCAGCTGTTTGGGCCAACAAGCTAGCTTCCAGGTGAGACTGCTACAATCCGCTACATCTCCGAGGAATACTCACCTGTTTCGTGATCAGATTTCATGCTCATCCAAACTCGGGGTCATGCCATACACGTTGGCCCATGATTTCGGGGAGTGTACATCTCCATGGCCACTCTGGGACTTTTCCATCTCCACTCTGTAGCTACAGTGTATATAGCTATTGACAAAGTCACAGTCTACTGGCCAGCTCAAAGATCCTACATAGATGATGGACAACCGTGAAGTCACTGCGGAGTCGACTTCGCCAAGCTTGTCATGCCTACGGAACATATGTTTTTTCATGGTTCACTGAGATAACGCGCTTCTTTTCCGGTTATTGACTTGTCTCTAACTCTCTTAATGGAATCCTTTCAAATCGCTTCAGTGAGTCTATACAATCCGACTTGCTATATAATGAGAAACTCAATAATGGCTTGCGGGAAGCCTGTTGGTGCTTACAAACAGTGGGTTCTGCAGTTCCAGATTAGCAAGTCAGAGTGTAGGCCTGCAGTCTCTCTGACTACCTCATCATCAGCAGTGGCTCCATTTTTTGATACGAGCTCCAAGGGTGAAATCCACAGTGCAAACTGTACTGTATCCGCGAAACAGTTCGTAGAAACTATCGACTTCCTGGGTGATTTCATACATAGGATGGGTCACGAGCCACTATCGAGAAGATAGACAGTTGAGCTCAATTGAGATATTGTATTTTCCTTGATGAGGTGCGTTCTATATCATATCTATCCATCTAATCTAACTTAATCTAATCTAATCCAATCCACACATACATACATACATACATACATACATACA